TGGATGGCACAGTTCACATAGAAAACTTCTTTCTCTTTCTTTCTTTCTTTCTTTCTTTCTTTCTTTCTTTCTTTCTTTCTTTCTTTCTTTCTTTTTTTCTCCCTCCTTTATTCTAGGTGGATAATTCATCTTTGACAGGGGAATCTGAACCTCAAAACCGTACCCCAGAATGCACCCATGAGAGCCCCCTAGAAACAAGGAACATTGCCTTCTTCTCAACCATGTGCTTAGAAGGTAGGAAGCACTGTTTTTGGGTGGGGGGAGCAGTGGTGGGATTCAGCCAGTTTGCACCACTTCGGGGGAACCGGTTGGTAACTTTCTAAGCAGTTTGGTGAACTGGTTGTTGGAAGAAATCATTACGGCAGAGGACCGGTTGTTAAATTATTTGAATCCCAACACTGGGGGGGAGGGGGGGTGAAGAGATTGGTTGTCCTCTGGCAGCATCTAGCTCTTCCCTTCTTCTTTTTCAGGAACTGCCACTGGTATTATCATTAACACCGGGGACCGCACCATCATTGGGCGCATCGCCAGCCTGGCTTCAGGAGTGGAGAATGAGAAGACGCCCATTGCTATTGAGATTGAACATTTTGTGGACATCATAGCTGGCTTGGCCATTTTCTTTGGTTTCACCTTCTTTGTTGTCGCCATGGTGATCGGTTACCCCTTCCTCAAGGCGATGGTCTTTTTCATGGCAATTGTGGTGGCTTATGTCCCCGAGGGCCTCCTGGCAACGGTCACAGTAAGTATCGCAACATAAGCAGTTTGAGATCTTTCTGAATACTTTCCCCCTGTTCGGTCCACAACATCTTCACGTGTTGCTTGGTATGAAGGAAGTACTCCTTGGCGTCTCCACCAGGAAGTCCCAAAGGTGCTTTTTCAAGGGGACTTTGTTCGGAGGTTTATCTGTGCCCTCGGGATCACCCAAATAATGCCAGTGGGTGTGGAACCTTCTTGGACTTTGTTGTAAACAGGAGATGGTGTCGTACCCCTCCCCCAGGGGTGAAATCCAGCAGGTTCTGGAGAACCAGTAGCAGAAATTCTGAGTAGTTTGGAGAACAGGCAAATGCCACCTTTGACTGGACCCAAAGTGGGATGGAAATGGGTATTTTTCAGTATCCTTCCCCTGGAGTGGGGTCGGAATGGAGATTTTTCAGTATCCTTTCCAGGGGTGGGTTTCAACCGGTTCGCGGCG